GGCCCCATCCGTGTAATACATTTTTAAACTTTTAGCTTAAAAATTATAAAAACAGCCTGCAGTATTTTCAGTCTTTATTTTACAGTTAAAATAAATGTTTATTAAATAAAGTCTAATTTTACAACTAATCGGGGATCCCTTTAAATACCTTTTTTGCCTTTTTGTATTTTTGCCTGTGCCCTGGGTTATTCTGCACACAACCTTACATCTATATTCCTGAAATGTAAAACATTTTGTGTTTACACTGCTGGAGCGAGGCACATGCTAAGTAAAGACTTGTTGTTTCTCGACTGCAACCAATCACAAATTAAGACTGCATCTAAAAACCACAAAGTATCCAACAACACCAAATTGTTGGCAAATGTCCTAGCGTTTTCTGTAATATTAACCCTCCAGCTGCCCTTGGGTCAAAATGACCCACAAGGCTTTACTGTTAAGACTGAGGCCCTATGGAAAAGCAACTGTTATTTCTGTCAAATAATGGAAAAAAATATATATATTTTTCAATGCATCAGTCTTGTCTACCTGAAGGAAGATCACTTTGTCCTTGCTCTGAGCCTGGGCCTCCAGTTCATTGCTCTTCCTCTTCAGTTGGCTCAGCTCGTTCTCCAGACCTCGGGCCAGCTCCTGGGCGTGGCGCTCGGCCTCACGTTGCCTTGTRGCAATCAGCTCCACCAGTTCGGCCTGACTCTGCTCCACCAGCCTCTGCAGCTCGGCGTAGACCTGCCAGCTGTCTTCCAGCTCCTTTTGAGCGTTGGCCTGCAAAACACATGAATGTTGTCTGTCAGGGCCAAAAAAATAAATGTCTGAAAGTTAACCTAGCTACTTTGGTTGCTCAGTTTTGAGCTTTTAAATCGATCAAAGGAAGATTACCTCTTGTATTTTTATAAGGTTCCTGGTTGCAACTACTTACTCACTTAATCCTGCTTTCCATAAGGAAGCAGTTTTTTTTGGGGTGGGGTGGGGGTCATTATTTTGGTTTTACTAATGATGATTCTGAGGATGCTGAAAACATGCACCATACCATTTGAAGTTTCCTCTTGTTTTCTTTTTTTAATAACTTTTAAAAGGCATAATCTGAAAGCCAGCAATAGACTATTTCATAGTTACAATTGTGAGAAGCATCACAGGTCATTCAGGATTGTTGCTATGAAAATGTGATTGGAATTGAACAAATTCTACCAGTAAATTGAAGCTGTTATACAGACCCAATGTATTTCTAAACTGTGTTAAGCATTTCTTTAAGATCATAGATGAGATTTTTCAGAAATATCTTTTTAAGCTATAAATCTGCT